TGTGTTATATGAATATAAAGTGATTTTAGTATGTGTATTTGAGTTTAAGGGTATGAAAGGGATTTAGAAATGAAGGGTTTAAGCTGATATTGGTAAATTTCGGGTTTAAAAAGTGACTTTTAGGTTAGTAGTATCAGTATTGCTTCATCCAGTGTTGATACTTCAAAGGTAAATAAGTAATAATTAGGGTGTGGGTATCGATAATGGATGAACAATATCGATACCATAAGCCAAAATTTGATAAGTTATTCAAGGGGTATCGGTACCATAAGGCTAATATCGGTACCATTTTGAAATAATGATTACAGAATTGAAAAATGGTATCGATACACAGGCTAGGGAAGTATCGGTACCATACATAGGGTACCGATACTACTCAAAGTGGAAAATTGTATAAAACCTTTCTTTTAGCTTGAGTTATTAAGGATTGAATTATGATACTTAGAATTCTGATATGATTCTGTAGATATTGAGCATAAACAAGTTCTGGAACGACCGAAGAGTTAGGATCGATTAAGAAGGATAAAGTCATAGAAGTTGATTGGGATTAAGTGAGGCTAAGGTGAGTGCATGTTATATTATAAATGTAGTTTTATGGAAATAAGACTTGTGATAATTTTATTTTTGATGTTTAAATTTCATGGTTTAATAGTTATGAACATGCATATATTATGATCATTATAAGCACATGCATAAGTGGTATATGTTTTTATATATGCTATATGATCCATATGAACATAATTAAATAGCATAAGTTAGATGACACGATATAAATGATTATATGTCCATGTGATACATGATATGTGATAAGATATATGCGATTATAAGAGAAATGATATTAGTACATTAATTAGTGATTATATGGATATATAGAACCTATAAATATTCAAGCCCATGTTATGTAATATGAGAGCTATAGGTATAGTTGGCAAGCCAAGAGTCAAGGGTTATATGAGGTCCTTTGGGATATATACGAGGTCCTTTGGGACATACATGAGGTCCTACGGGACAAATTTTATATGCCACTCAGTGGACCCTTATACGAGCTGTGGTGACAGCAAATGTGCACAACCTCAATGTACTCACATACCTTAAGTTCTCGATAATGTACATGGGTCATAAAATATATAAAAAGAGTTTACATTATTATAAGATATCATGTTATTATTATTAATGATGGAGCATATGTGACATGATAAAATAGTGATATGATAATGGTGATTGCATAAGCAATGATTGTATTGTATGTTCATACTTTAGAAAATACATTATTTTATTACATGCCTCACTAAGTAAATGACTTAGCATGTGAGTGTTTCACATGTAGGTAATGAGAAACAATAGGATCAGACCTAGATCTATGGAACATCATACCTCCACTCGAAGATCAGATCAGAAGTAATTTACACAATACGTATTTTGTTGTAATAAATATGTTGGCTTGTAAACAAAGTTGTGAATTATGTATGCTCTGATCGATTTTGTAATGTTTTGAACATACTTATGTAAATTAGTTACCTTTATTTTAATGAAAGTTTAAAATTTTCATGATTTTTATAAGTGTAAAGGTTTTTGAAAAGTCAATGTGACATCTCGGATTCGTATCCAGGTCGGGTACAGGTTGGGGTGTTACATTTAATGGTATCAAAGCTATGGTTTAGTCGATTCTAGGTATAAACCGAAGTCTAGAGTGTCTTTAAATGTATATATGCCAACAAAATAGTGAGAACTTCTGATCTGATAAGAGTAACTAGTATGATGTTTTGCTAATAGAGTTATATGGTTATATCTTATTAAATGTTTGGACATGATAGCTCCCGAAGTGAAGTGGAAGATGATAGGCCAACAGAGAGTAGTAATTCACTTGCCCTGGCCATGCCAGGTGAAGAATAGGCACCTCTAGGAGTGACTGCGCAAGATCAAGATGATTTATTCAGGACGTTGGATGTTATCCTGAGGCGTTTCCAACCTCTTTCTCCCTCTAGTCAGAGAATGAATGTAGCAAAGGTGTTAAAGGGATTAGGAGGTCCTAAGTTCAAAGGTGAAACCGACGAAGGTCATCTGTTACGGACCTTTGACTCAATGATGTGAAGATAATGTTAGATTGACTTAACTTTTCTGATGTGGAGAAGCTAGATGGAGTGGTCTCCTTGCTCCGTAGGCAAGTAAGAATTTGGTGGACAAATGTCACTCTGAGGATGACAAGTGACCAAGTGACATGGTCCTTGTTCTTAGAAGAGTTCAAGAACAAGTATATAGGAGATCAGTTATTAAGAAGATGAAGCAAGAATTCTTGATCCCGAAGTAATTGAATCTTACTGTGTATGAATACGAGTGTGAGTTTAATAAGTTAAGTTGTTTTGTGGCTGAACTGATTCCTACAGAGAAGGATGCGTGTGAGTGGTTTGTTGAAGGATTGCGCCCGAGGTTAAAAGAAATGTTGATTGTATTGAACTTGTCCTCGTTTTAAGAGGTAGTTAATCGAGCTAAAGCTCTTGAAAGTGCTCAAAATGAAAGATTTGGAGAGCAAAGAGCCCAAACATTTAAAAGAGTTGGGGCTTCATCAAATTCTGCACCACCTAAGAGAGGCAGAGATTCTGAGTTTTGATATCATGCAAGGTCTGAGTCAGTGGCATCCTCTGATAGAGGATCAAATCAGATAAGAGCTAGACAGACTCAATCAGTAGGGTCTGGTGTTGGGAGAGCAAATCAGGGCCAAGCTAGACAATGTCAGCTCTGTGGAAGAAGTCATACTGGATATGTCGAGTTATCTCTGGAGCTTGTTTTCGATGTGGAGAAAAGAGATATTTCATGCGGGATTGTCCAATGAGGGTTGGAGAGCCTGCATAGTCGAAGCGATCTGTTTCGATGTCTCAAAGAGGATGCGGTAGATGTACAGGAAGAAATTAGCCGAAATCTTCTACTCAACAGGAAGTGCGCTCAATTACCCAAGTGTATAATATCAAGACCAATGAAGAGTGTGATGATCCGGAGATAATTGCATGCACTTTCCTATTGTACGATAAATATGTTGTGGTATTGATTGATCCGAGTTCCACATATTCATATATTAGTAGTAAATTGGTGAGAAAATTGGGAATTCATTTAAAAGCCACTAGTAATGATGTGATACTGACGAATCCCTTAGGGAACAATTCTTGGGTAAATAGAGTATGTCGAGGGTGTTCCATATGGATTCAGGGAATTGAATTCCCTGCTAATCTGATGGAATTACCCTTTGAGGAATTTGAAGTGCTACTGGGAATGGACTGGTTATATCATTATCATGCTAACGTCGATTGTAAACTGAAGAGAGTAACATTAATAAGTTCAAAAGGACTAGAAGTTGTAGTGTTCAGTGAAAGATTCAATCCATTGGCAAATGTAATTTCTGTGAAGTCGGCAAAGAAGTTATTGTTACAAGGATGTCAGGGTTTCATTGTTAATGTGATGGACACTAGAACCAAGGAGAAAGGGTTAGAAGAGATTCCCATAGTTAGAGAGTTCCCTGATGTCTTTCCTGCAGAGTTGTTAGGTTTACCACCGGATAGAGAGGTTGAATTCCAAATGGAAGTCATACCTGGAACAACACCTATTGCAATGGCACCATACAGAATGGCTCCGAAGATATTGCAAGAATTAAAGATTTAGTTACAAGAGTTGTTGGATAAAGGATTTATAAGACCAAGTGTATCACCTTGGGGAACTCCAATTTTAAAAAGAATGATGGTTCAATACGTATCTGCATTAATTATAGGCAACTCAATAAGGTGACTATCAAGAATAAGTATTTCCTCCCTAGAATTGATGATTTATTCGATCAATTAAAGGGAGCTTCAGTATTTTCTAAAATTGATTTGCAGTTTGGATATCATCAATTGAAGATTCAAGAGAAAGATATTCCGAAGATGACTTTTAGAACGAGATATGGTCACTACGAATTCATTGTTATGCCGTTTGGAGTTACGAATGCACTGATTGCTTTTATGGATCTGATGAATAGAATATTTCAACCTTATTTGGACCAGTTCATAGTTGTTTTCATTGATGATATATTGGTGTATTCAAAGTCAAATGAAGAGCATAGTGCACATCTGAATATGGTTTTGCGGATTCTACGATATAAGAAGTTATATTCCAAACTATCTAAATGTGAGTTTTGGTTGAATGAAGTAACATTTCTTCAACATTTAGTTTCTGCAGAAGGAATTCAAGTTAATCCTCAAAAGATAAAAGCCATTTTAGAATGGGAAGTTCCAAAGAATGTGTCGGAAGTTCGAAGTTTTCTGGGGCTCGCAGGTTATTATCAAAGGTTCGTTAAGAACTTTTCAATGATAGTTTTACCTTTGACTAAATTGACGAGGAAAGATGAAAATTCGCGTGAACTCTTGAATGTTAAGAAAGTTTTGAAACATTGAAGAAAATTTTGACAGAAGCTCCAGTCTTAGTTCAACTTGAGTCTGGCAAGAACTACATAGTTTACAGTGACGCATCCCATAAATGCTTGGGATGTGTTCTGATGCAAGAAGGAAAAGTGGTGACCTATGCGTCTAGGCAATTGAAACCACATGAAAAGAACTATCCAACACATGACTTGGAATTGGCTGCAGTAGTGTTTACTCTTAAGATGCGGCGTCACTACTTATATGGTGAACGTTGTTACTTATATACTGATCATAAGAGCTTGAAGTATCTGATGACCCAGAAAGAATTGAATTTAAGGCAGAGAAGATGGGTGGAATTTCTAAAGGGTTATGATGTGGTAATCGATTTTCATCCTAGAAAAGAAAATATGGTAGTAGATGCTTTAAGTCGAAAAACATTTGCAACCTTACGAGCTCTAGATGCAAGGTTGTCATTAGATGGAGAAGAGGCGATATGTGCAGACTTAAAGCTTAATACAACATGGTTGGATTGAATTAAAGAAGTGCAAACCAAAGATGAAGGGTATTTGAAGAGGTTGCGACAAGTAAATAATGGAGAGATTAATGATTATGAGATTAAGTCTGATGGGAATCTATATTATCGAGGGAGATTGGTAATTCCTGATGATGAAGAATTGAAGAATGATCTGTTAACATAAGCTCACTGTAGCCCCATTGACGATGCACCTGGGTGGAATAAGATGTATATGGATCTCAAGAGTCGGTATTGGTGGCCGGGAATGAAGAGAAACATTACGGAATTTTTTATCCAAGTGTTTAACTTTCCAACAAGTCAAATTCGAGCATCAGGTTCCGTTAGGAATATTGCAACCAATGTCTATTCCTCAATGGAAATGGGAGAACGTGACGATGGATTTTGTGACGAGGTTGCCATTGACTCCGAACAAAATAGATTCAATTTGGGTGATCGTGGATAGATTAACTAAGTCAGCCCATTTCATTCCTGTAAGAACTGATTTCTCAATGGATAAGTATGCTGAACTGTACATCAGAGAGATTATACGATTGTATGGTGTACCTGTTTCGATTGTTTCAGATCGGGATCCTAGATTTACATCGAGATTTTGGAAAACTTTACATGGAGCATTAGGGACTCGACTGAAATTTAACACTGCATTTCATCCCCATACGGATCTCGACTGAAATTTAACACTGCATTTCATCCCCATACGGATGGACAGTCTAAGAGGACTATCCAAATTATAGAAGATATGCATATATTATAATTTACCTCTGGTGCCACATAGTTAGGAGTTCCACACGTCGTCCGAAGTAGGCTAACTCCCTAAACATACATATTATCAAATAACAAAGCGTATCATCATACTTCTTTCAAACTATTTTATGTCCGAGGAGGAAGGCGAAAAAAGTAGTTCACTCTTCACTTAATTTCTTACTTGTTCTGGCAATGCGCTAAGGCCAAAATCTGAAATCTTTAAATTTCCTTGGGAATCAAGTAAAAGATTTTCAGGCTGTAAATATAGAATAAAACAAGTAAGAATTATGAAATCTGAACAAAGAAAAATAGCAACAAGGATGTTAACGAAAAGGACACCTTCAAATCTCTGTGGTAGACTCCCTTACTATGGCAAAATTCCACACCATCAATAAGCTGTTGGAAATATCTTCTATCTTCAGCTTCACTAAGACGACCATTATGAATCCTGCAAGATTACCAATTTACCGTCCACCTTTAAAACAAACCTGATAATGCGACCAAAGTTGGATCTTTGCTTCTAAGATACTATTTTATCGAACAATTCACCACCAGTAATGAACTCCAAGATTATATAAATCTTAGTTCGACTTGCTATAACCTAATAAATGCAAAACTAATATTTGTTAGAAACCAACCAAATATTAACCATATTGAATTTAATGATTAATGCTACAGTGATACTAACGAATTACTTACCTCGTGCAAACGAACAACGTAAGGATGTGTAAGAAGCTTCATTATAGATATCTCCCTTTTGATCTGAAATGTTTAATAAATATAAAAGGAAAATACAATTCGTGATTAGCTTCAATAGAAACTCAAACTTGCAAATCATATTTAAGAACTGATAATTTTTCAAAAATATATATATATTTGAGAACTGATAACTATGACTATGCTTTAAGCAATGGTAATTTATCGAAATCACCTATAATCCAGTAAAATTACATAAAAAGAAGACACAAATAAATAAAATTTCTCTATATTATACGTTCAACAAATTTCTCATGAAGTTACCAAAATTTCAGTAACATAAGAGATGGAAATTTGACCTGATCGATCATTTTGTGTTTGATAATGATGCTGCGATCGAGGACTTTCATGGCAACACTTTCGCCGGTCTCCGTATTTTGCGCGAACTTAACCTTTGCAAAGGTTCCTTCACCGATAGTTCTTCCAATCTCATACTTCCCTACCTTTCTGACCACCATCGCTAACTTTCTTCCAATTTTCTCAGTCTCGGAATCCCACTTTCTCTCTCACCAAACAGAAGGAATAGAAAAAAGGGGGGAAGACAGAAAGGAAAGAGTTTAAAAGTATTGAAGAAGATAATCGACCAAAGCTTAATCAAAGAGTTAGTGCGTAGATTTTAGCCTTTCACTTTTGCACTTCAAAATTCCTACTTGTAATAAATAATAATCACAGTGTAATGAAAGTATAATAAAGACAAAATTAAGTTATGTTTTCGAAAAAATTTCAAATCATCTATTTTAAAAATTGAATTGAGTATTTAAGTCCAACATAACCCTAAAACCTAATCCCAACATAATCTCTTATTATTCACTTATAGTTGGTTAATTTTTTTTTGAAATGGTTATGTTTAGAGGGTTTACAGTTATTGCTTCAAGTTTAGTTTGTTATGACAGATTTTGAGAATGTATTGTGAATTTGAGGTTGGATATATAATTGAAGTATTTTAGAATTTTAGGTTTAGAATGTAATTTAAGCATTTTGGATTTTGGGTTTAGAATATAATTGATGATTGTGTTGCAAGTTTTAAAAGTTGGGGGACCTAAATGCAAGCGCCTGAAAAATTCAGTGACAATATATATAATTTACCCTATAGACATTGAAACGACCGTTACGTTGGGACCATATTACAAACAAACTAAATGTTTGATAATTGTATTGCAAGTTTTAAAAGTTAGGAGACCTAAATGTAAGTATCTGAAAAATTCAGTGACCATTTATATACTTTACCCTAAATAAAAATACATACTTGTAAATGTAAATAACATGAAATAAAAGTACTGAAACTAAAAAGAAATAATAAACACTGAAAAGGAATTAAAATAAATAACAATAAAATAAGAACCCGAAATTGAAAGCAATGTAAAACAAAGAACAATCGTAGACACAAGCGTAAAATAATAATAACAATAATAATAAAAACAAGGTACCCATTTAATATTAGCACGCGTGGTATAAATTAAAATACATCGCATATTATATAATTCGTACATGTATCTATATATGTGTCTTAATGGATTAACATGTAAAAGGACTAAAACATAGTGCCAAAATTGAAAGAGAAATAAAACTAATATATGATTCAAGAGAAAGTAAAGCGACCAAAGAGGTAATTTTTTTTATACATGAAAATTGGTGCGGTTGCACTTCCTTGGCCAGATTCAAATGGAATATTAAATTTAAGATTAGAAAAGAAAACAACTAATTTGTTACCAGAGAGATAAAAATTACAGAGAGGGAGGGGACTCCTCCGCCATCCGCCGCCGCCCTGTGGTGGTCGTTTAGCCCTAAACTTTGAGGAAAGGTTTGCCTCGACGCCGGGAGTTCGAATATGGCCTCAGTTTTGCATGAAATGGCCCTCAACTTCACGAAAAAGCCAAAAACCTTTCAAATTTTCACTACTCCGATATGATTCTTCCGTCATTAGATCATCACGACATCGAGTTATATGCCCTCCCTCACTCTCATGTCACTGCTCACCGTTGAGATTTAGAAACCGACCTCCGGCGCCACCGCCATCAAGAACCCGAGGTGAGGCCTTTCTTTCGTTCTGCTTTCTTTCAGTTTGGTTCCTGTTCAAAGAAATAGTTCTCGACCTCTTTTTTCATTTCTAGCTCGATCTTTAATAGCTATAGTTGCTCTCTGTTTCCTTGATTTTTTGTTTGTTGCTTATGGACATATCTTTTTGGCTAGAAATTCCCTTTTTTTGAAATGTGTTCCCCCTTTCTTTGTGTTGCTCGCATGTCCTTTTTATCATAACTTCTATGAGATTCTGCTAAAAAATGAGGAGACTGTATGTGTCCATCTCTGCTACCCTGCCCTAACCGTTTTGGCAGAGGAAGGACCACCAAACGATTAAAGTGCAGAGAGATCCTTGGTTGTGACGTGGAGCAAATGAACATGGCGACAGCCCATGTTGTTGTTGTTAGGGATGGTAATGAGTCGGATCGGGTTTTTGGTCCACTCGAATCGAGAATAAGAGAACCTCCTTCTGAGACCTGACCAAAACACGTCTCACCTGATCCGACCCGAATATATGATTTAAAAATTTGATTTGACTTGATTCAAAATAATAAAAAAATATATATTTATTCAATAAAAATAGTAATTTAATTAAAAAAAATTTATATAGATTGAAATTATTATAATTATTCATAAATATATATCACACTTAAAAAATTCGATCCGACCAAAACCTGAATTTTTAAAAAAAATTCGACCCGATCAAGTCCGTACCCGTCAGGTTCGGATTGAATGGTCATCCTAGTTGTTGTCATGATCTTGAACAGACGGATGTTCACTGCATAGAAGAACGGCTGTGGGTTTCATTTGTAAAAATCTGAAAATAAAATATAAAAGGTTCGTATTTGTTTTATATATTTAATATTATAAAAAATTTCTAAATAAAAAGAAGAAAATATATAACTAATATTGCAATCTAGTTATTTATTTAACACCTATTTATTATTATAACTAATTAAAATTAACTAAAAATAATTAAAAATATTTAGCTAGAATTTATTGTATAATATTTAAAATCGAATGACTAAAGCCAGGATGTAAATGAGTTTACACCCTAGGCATGTAATAAAATCAAGTCTCCACCACTTAATAAGAATAAGATGCAATGATCAAAAGATCTTTAAAAAAGAATTGTGACGGGGCTTAGATAAATAAAAGTCATGCAATCAAATAAAAGAACTATAACAAACGCCAAGCAACTTTTTTTTTTAAATTTTTTTCACTTTCTGTTCGAACCATGCTATTTTTTTCTCTTTTTTTCTCTTTTTTTCGTTTGAACATGTTATTCAAACCCTTTTCTATTTTTTTCGTAAATTGTGAACATTCATAACCCATTCTCTTATCCCGACAAAGGTATCAAAAGAAGGTAAATAAAAAGGATATTTTTAAAAAAGTGATAAAAACAAAGAAAGGAAAAAGGTTAAAAAAATGGTTAACTAAGGGAAATGATCAGGTACACAAATTTAGGTAGAGAAGTGGGTAAATTCTAAGGTGGTGTTTGTTTTTCTAAAAAAAGTTCTTCAAAGCTCTTATGTATGCTCCGCGTAGACCACGCGTAGACATTGGGCTTCGCAGACCGTATGATTTTTAGAAGACAATAGCTCTGAAAACATTTGTGCGTCCTCTTCTTGGCGCATACGTGACTTTGTGTCTTCAAAACTCTTCCAACCTCTTCAAAGAACATTAAAAACAAAAACCCTCGCCTAAAAAACCCAGATTGCTGTAAAACTAAAATTATTTAAATTTCAGTATTGCAAAACTTTTTTAAATTTAAAAAATCTGTTTATTTATATTTCAATTTATTTTAGCAGTCTGCAGACGTTAAAAACAAACAGTATTCTTCTTGCAGACTGCAGACTTTTGGTCCACCTCTTCTGCTGCAGATGTCTGCAGATGTGGTCCACAGACTACAGACCTTTTACCTCGGCAAAAACAAACAACACCTAAGTGTCCTTATCATGTTAAAGCACAAGTTCAATATGCAGTCTCAATATGCATTTAATCACATGTTCTAGAATATCAATGTAAAGTTCAGTACACTCAATCAAACAAGTGATAAAGAAAATAATAGATTGCTCAATTAAGCTCAAATCTCACAAGAAAGTGTAATCTGCATTGAGTTAAGTACATTTCAACTAATAAACTCATGAGATATCAACAAAATTTTCAAGAAAACACTAATTTGCGATTCACTATCATGCATCCTAATTCAAACAAAAATGTGTTAAAAAACTCACGTAGTATACAAAAATATTCAACAAGACTTGGGATGTTCGTTAGAAAATTTCAACACATTCAACCAAAGCATACTCAATTCCAAACATACAAATAAACAATGAAAATTTTGAATTAATTATCTTCTCTCTCACTTAAGTGCATTGTCTCAATACGAAAATTAAAGCACAAGAGAAGGGATAAAAATAATTCTCTTGTTTAGCAACTAGTAAGCTTAAATTAAATGATTGTGAATGGGAGTTGTTTTGTGTGATGAGTGTATGACTGGGTTCGATCTCTCAAAAGGGAAGTTGTTAGAGTCCGGATTGATGCCAAAGTTTACTGTAAAGTCAAAAGGGTAGTACATCAGTAATGGGGTAATAAAGCTAAGCTCGTTTTTTACCTCAAAATTTTTGATTCGGTAGTGGCCATCAACATTGGCAAAGTGGAGACGTCCGTAGTTAACCGGCGAAAGGTAATTATCGACTTCTTGATTTCTCGTTCAAACCATGGTTTCTATGCAGCAAAGAGAGGCGATGAAGAAAATGAGCACCAGTCGGGACAAACTCAGTGCTAAAGCACGAAAGGTGAATGGTAAATGTTGCAAGCGGCGGTGGTTTGAAGGTGCGATTGACAGGTTTTTTGTTTTGTGGAAGCATAAAGAAGGGGGAGCGACTGATATGGTAAATAAAAAAAAGGTTGGGGTTTCGTTGGAGCTGTGGTGAGATGGAAGGGAACGACCGTGTGGTAGCGAAAGGCAAAGAAAAAAAAAGAATTGGAGAGGGCTAGGGTTCAATGATGCGTCTGATTTGAGGAAGAAAAAAATAATGGAAAATGAAAAAGGGTTATGGGAAAAGAAGTAGAAATGAGTGTATTATTAAAATTGCAGGTGGGGTTTGGAAAAATTAAGCATGGGGTTTGTTGGTTCGTGGGACCCAAAGAAAATATAAAAGGTGAAAGTTTGGGTTTGTGCTTTCGAGGAGAGATGGGTTTGCTGCACCTTAGGGATTTAAATGAAACGATGGACATAATGAATCGGTGCACGTTTTGAATCACACGACCTTTTGGGGGGAAAATTAGTTGCTTACGATTATAATACTAGAATTTTCTCCCATTATAATGCTTTGTTTATCGTCATTTATCTCGATGACTTAATTCAGACTACATGTTTCCCGAGAAACATTTCCACTTCATACTCTTTTTCCAAGTAAGAATTTTTTTATAAGAAATTCTATGATCATAGAAATTTTTCTTTTTATCCTTATAGATTGTGTCATTCTCAAAGACTTTTCTTCGAATCTATCCCAGTTTTGAATTCTTGTCCAAAATAATGGACGAAAATATATCGTCTTCACAAATGTTCATGTTCGTTAAT